GAGCCTGTGTGTCATTTACTCATTGGTCGTTGGTCAGAGTGAGACGGGGAACGGTTGCCTTCCGCCTTCCCTTTTCAAACTGTCCAGTCTGGCCATCAACCGAAAGGAAAACTCCCGATATATAGCGCAAGCGTTTCACGTCTTCGTAACGCGCCTCTCTCCCTCCCGCTGAAAATTGACCAACCCGCTTTTCCTTTCGTTTGCCCATAAAATATTATCCCTCGCTACACTCACGAAAGTCGTCGAGAGAAAAAGAAATTCCCTTCCTCTTCCCTTTTCTTCCGTTCCTCCTCGTCCCTCCGCCCCCTTCACTCTTTACCTCGCCCCGGCTTTTCTCACCGATAATAGCGCTCCTGCGTGGTGTACGGTCGAAAGAGAGAAAGAAAAAGGAGGAAAAATGAAATTGCTCTGGAAAGGAAACCGGATACGGTTATGTTTGACTTATCCTTTTTGTTCGATAAAGTGACAAAAGTGCGGGACACGCGAGCAATTTGTCACGTTTAATTTGTCTGTGGCGGGGGGAGGGGAGTGATCGCCACCCTCTTTGTCGCCGCGCGTTGAAAAACTTCGTGGGAGCGGCACCCTTTAAAACACGAAACAGCGAAATTGATCGATCTGACGGACAGACGTTTCGGTAAATTGAATTATACAAGTTGACGTTCTCGTGCAGCGGCGGACCGGTTAAAAATTTCACGTGAAACGTGAAACAGCGGGGGGCGGTCGCAGCCGTGTTAATGATGTAAAATGAGAAAAGCGAAACGAAAGGAACGAGAAACCAAAAACGAAGAAAACTAAAAAAGTATGTTGAAAGAAATAAATGATACTTTATTTTGTACACACACCGTTCCTGATCGTAATATAATAGAAAAAAAAGAGCACAGTGAAAGGAAGGAGAAAAATAAATATACAAAAATAATATACAGCTAAAAAAGTAACAAAGGAAAAATTCTTCCTTACTTCGCAGTCTTATATAAAAATATACGATCGATCTTGTATATCAATAAACCATGCGAGGTTGGTTATTTCATGTCTGTACACATATATTGTTGTTCGACTACGTCGTGTGACTAGATATCAGCATTTGGAATTATAAATCGGGTCGAAAATGACTAGATGAGCTAAAAATAATTTCCCTAGACGCGCGGAACACTTCACATGAAACGATTCGTTTCTATCAAACACGTACGCTCATATAATAATACAATACAGATCATATATATATAATATAATCTTCCTCATTTATATACTGACTTAAAGGGGTAAAATTTGATTTTGCGCTCAATTTACGTTAGTCAAGGCAATACTTGTTTCGGGACTCATACCGTCTGCAGTGAAACCGATGATCATCATATCCCCCTCATTTTACAAACCAGGATCGTCATGATTTTTCGTTTTATCGCGTGTCGATGCGATCGCAATCGTCGAGTGAATGAAAATTTCGTTGGAGAGAAAAAGGCAGAGAAAGGAAAACTGTTTGTTTTTGCCCCCGTCGTGTCACAGATATTTTATTCGTAACGCTCGGAATCATTGGTACGCGGCGAAATAAATTGCAGCCGGCACGTAGAAAAACCATGACGCCCCCAGCCCGCGTTGCCCGATTTATTATCGGCTGTGCGAGTCGTTACAATAATTAAAATCTACGACCCTCGTTGCCGCGCACGGGCCATTAAGTGCACAATACGCATAGTTCCATGGGATGCAATTAAGAGGGTGCCGATTTACATGGACGCACGCGTTTTGCATGTCACCGTTCTTCGTCGCTGGGGCAGAGAAAAATGGTCGAGGGGGGCGGCAGAGAAAGAGACCCGGGGATACATACGTGCACGGCAACCTTCACCTCCCCTTCGTCCACTCTGCCCCAATCGTGTGCCACCGTCGGACTTTTTCGGAAAAATCCCGGCCAAGGTCACGACCTTTCTCTCCTCTTTGACCTTCAGACAAGGGGACCAGATGTGGGACCGTTTGCGCCAGGGCCTCAACGACCCGGACAATAACTTCTAAAAATTCCATTTTTCCCCCGAAAGGAAATTTCACTTTCGTTCCTCTCCTTTCACTTCATCCCTGACCACGCGGCCTCTCCTCATTTCCGTGTCCCCCCGTTCCACGTATCCTTCTGTCTTTTTCCCTCTCGATGGATTCGTAATGGCCGATTCCTCTCCACGATCTCCCCTAAAGTATATATGTTAATGGACGCGTGCGCGCATACTAATTCAGACGAATTTTCGCCGGGAAAGTCCCTGGTCCTGTTAAATGACGCGACGCGCTCTCTTTTCTCCTCTATCTTGAATTTCAGCTGCCCTGGGGAAATTTTTATGGGTGTTGAGACAAAAGGCCGAGCGAGCGGTCCGAGCGGAGCGGCGAGCCTGTTTTTGCTTCCGATACCGCCATAAATCGTGATCGCGCGGAACCACCGCCTCTCTCTCTCTCTCTCTCTCTCTCTCTCTCTTTCTATTTCTCTCCCCCTTTTGCCTGATGAGCATTCACGTTTACGGGAAAAACACGTTTGTGTACCGGGTCCGCCTTTTGTTCGAGGCCGCGCGACCACGCTCAATGGACGCTAGCTTCTCTCGTCTGTTTCTGCACGGAGATCGATCGATAGTGCCCGCGCGTCGCGTTTCGAATTTGCGTGAATACGTCCGTCGCGCCAGGTTAAATAAATAGAGGAGAAGGAGAAGCCGTCGAAACGAGCCGCGTTATTATTATTTCATAATCCAAGGTCAACATTGCGTGGGCGTGCTTCGAGGGCGGAAATGTAACGCGCGCGTGTTTGTTCATCGAAGGGAGACGAGAAAGAGCCCCCACCGGTGCAAGGAACGCATTTTAGGAGGCGAGTTCAAGTTTTCGGACGGCTGCACGCCTCGGCTATCCTCTGATCGCACTGCGAAAACAGCTGGCTCTTTCGAACGTGTTTCGATCGAATGCTCGCTGACCGTTAGACGACGGAATTATTGAAAACCTGGTTAAAAAATCGCGCCCAATCGTTATACGTTTCCTTTTTCAAATTTTGCATCTCGTTTCTCTTTCCAAATTTCGCGCTCGATCCTTACGTTTCTCTATTCGTTTCTCAGATATTGCGCTCGATCGTTACAGCTTAACAATCTCCGTGATTTAACATCCTTCCTTTTTTGCGAAAATTTCAACGACGCGTTACCGTATCCAGAGGCAATTTAACGGACGAGGACAGTCGTCAGGGATGAGCAGTGCACGATTACGCGCACGAAAAGAAAGAGGAAACCGCCATTACGAGGCCGAGAGGATCATCGTGTGGTACGAATTGTTTTCTGTGTACAGACAACAGACATAAATGGCTTCGCGTCGTTGGACGCTCGTATTGCGTCCGACATCGATTCCGACTTCCCATCTATTACGGCGATAACGAAATTTTGATTCTCAGTTTCATTGAAGCTGCAAGGCACGAGGTTGAAAACAGCGTCTCGAAAAGGAACTTTTTACGTTTTCTTCTTTTCGGTCGCGATCAGAAGCGACCACGTTCATTTTTTTTTTCTTTTTTGCTATTATCTCTTGTAGACAACTAGGCTATGTGTAAAATCTTATACCGTGTTCAGTTCGATCGTCACGTAGATTCAAAGAAGTTGGGCATCGTACAGTCGAAATTTACTCGAAGAGAGTGGTCGTTCGATCGCCATTCCCGCGAAAAAGAAAGAAAGAAAAAAAACATCGAACGGGATGGGATCGAAATGGTGTATATCTGATATTCGCGTGGTGCACGCGAAACAACTATATCGATATATTTATTTAAATTCTATGCAGTGCGTTGGCTGTGTATACGATTGTACTTTTTGTTACGGGGTTATACTGCGTCGACCCTGAGTTGATTGGCTTTCACTGCTCGTTGATATCTAAATATTGTAACCGTAGATTCAATCATGCTCGCCTCACAGTTATAGTAATTACGCTTCTTCCTCATCGTCGCATTGTTCGTTTCGTATGCTCTATATTCGTACCTTAACCTGCCTACTTATAAATACCTCTCTTAAATCTTCTTCCCTTATCTTTCAACTCTGCTTATACATATACGTATATGTATATATGTGTCTGTGTATATATATATATATATATATATACATATATTTATATATAAAATATTGACTAGCACGATCGCGAGAAATGAAAGTTAATGTCGATATATCGACGCTCAAGATAACATCGGTTTGGCGTCGTTCCCTTCTATATCCTGTGTCTGCTCGTAATTCCTGGATTTGAGCAAAAAGCAAAATGGGATTACGAGAATTAACTCTTGAATAGGAACAGAAAGGAAATTGTTGCCCGAATAGATTAGACACGGTCTAAGTATGCTCACTTCGGAGGTCGGTCGTGTTTAAAATAGGAACTCTTTTTTTCTTCGATCACCCGTTCGTGTTGGTTATACGTGTAGATTATACTATGTACAATAAAATGTTCCACAAATTGGAACAGTATAACAACGTGGCTTTCAAACGCGGGACCTTGTTCTTAATCTCCCCTCCTCCTATAAAAGAAGGGACCTTAAAACTCGGTCTAAAAAGTATTTCTATTGGCCTTCGATAAATACTATACGCCTGGAATATTCATCGTTGTACATATGTAAAAAAAAAAAATGAAGGAATCGCCGAACAAGCAAGATAGAGAAATACACGAATATAAATATGTAGTCTGTTGAAGAACGTACTCGACAGATTTTTCCATCACTGCGAGTCATACAAAAGAAAAAGAAAGACTTACGATGAAGATTCGTCGTCGGCAATATATGTATATGTATATATCCAGGAAATTGTTCGCAGTGAATCGTCTCGAGTAGTACGCGCGTGTACGCATTAAACAACGGATGAATTGGAACTCTCTCGTCGGAGCCACGTATATGAAAAATATATATAAACTTTCGCTAACTATTTATCCTTAAACATTACATAGGAACCAATAACACGTGCTCAAATCGCAGACGCAGAAACGAGTTTCAGGAGATTCTGTCAAGTGTCGAGGCGAGGAGGGAGAATGGATTTTCAAGCGGGGCTAAGGGTGAAGGACGCGGTGAGCGCGTTGTTGATTCGCGATTTCACCGGTAGATAAACTAACGCCGGTGCGAATCGTTTCTCTGAACTGGATTCCTCGCCTACCTGCATCGTATCCTGTTCCTCTATCAAAAACGGCTGCATTATAGTCTTGTCAGGATTGGAATTCATGTCTTGCGGCATCGCGTAACAAGCTGGCACTTTGTGTCTGTTGGCAACGTCTTTCAACGTTCTGCTCAGTTCAGCGATCACGCTGTCCGTTGGATCGCCGATCGTTTTGTGATCCTTCCTCACGTGTTTCTTAATCCTATTCAAATTGGTTGTCGCGTAACCGCACTGTGCGCACTTGTACACACCCTGAGGAGTAACTTGGACCGCTGTGTCGTCTTGTCGTTGATTTCTCATCGGCTCGGGGATCGTTTGATTGGCAGTGACTTGAGGGCTGTCCCCCATGCGATCCTCCTTCACCTCGAGATCCAGCTTCTCTTTGACCTCGTTCAATTTCTCCGCGTCCACACCTAAATTATTAAGCACCGGGGGTTGAAACTGAGACAGCAACGTGGGAAACTGATGGGACGCGAGTAGATGTTGATGCAGGATCTCCGGTTGATGAAAGCCTTGCGAACAGATTGGACATTGAAACGATTTCTCCCCCTCTGCGCTCTCGCGGGAGTTCACGTGAGATCTCTCGTGAAGAAAGAGGAACGGCAGCACCGTGGTTGTGAAATTGCAGTAGGAGCAACGGTAGCTTTTCATTTGTTGATCTTCCGACGACGACCCTAGTAAATTGGACAACACTTGGTTTCCCAAAACCGGATAATCGGATTTCAATTGTTGCGAAATTTCGAATCCGTTCGGTATCTTCAAATTCGAGCCAGGTTGAACACTCTTCGGCATCATATTCCCCGCTCTGTTCCCCGATTTCGCCGTTGTCTGATACTGTTGCTCCATTTCGCGCCATTTGTCGATACCAATTTTCCCGTGGTCGCCCATCAGATGCGCTTTCAGCCACTTTATACTGCGGAACCTTCTGCTGCAAATCGGACACACCTCCGTGAAGTGTGTGAAATATCTGTGACTGAGATCGCCGAGTTGTTCCGGCTTCAATGCCGCGTCGTCGGTGTTCGTCGCCTCGTGTGCCTCCTGCTTCACCGAACTCGAAGTATTCTCGTCGACGATACCGTGCGTGTTGTGCTTGTGCACGCGCAGAAAGTATTTGCTGCACAACTCTTTGTTGCAGATGTTGCATATCACGCCCCCGATCTGCGCGCCGTTCTCGATCTCGATCCCGTGCATCCTCTGCATGTGCGTCTTCATGAAATACTTGTTGCACAATTCCTTGTTGCATATCTCACAGTAGCTCGACGTAGGCGTCATCGACGTCACCTTTCTCTCTGTCGGTGTTTGGCTGGTTGAATTCGTGTTGGTGGTGGTCGCAGCAGTGGTAGGAGTGTGAGGAACGGTACTCGAGATAGTCGGCTGATGTTCCTCGGCGACGTGTCTCCTCAGAGCGTCCTGACTCGCGTAATCCTTGCCGCACATGCTGCAAAACGCGGTCGTAACAGTTAACGGTGATTTGTCATGCGGCGAGGACGTCGAATCTTCGCCGATCGCTGTGTGCTCCGTCGCCATATGAATATGCAAAGACGCGCCGTTCTCGTACTCTTTTCCGCACACGTTGCACGACAATCCTTTGCCAGACTTCAAACCGTTCAACTGTAACAGCATCGTCTGCAACTTCTGTAGATCCTCGGAGATCGAGTCGTTTGGTTGGTCGGGCGTCTCGAACTCGCACTCTTGCTTAGGCGACTGTTGTTCCTCGCTTTCGTGCATCTTCCGGCAGTGCGCCTGATACAGGCCAATCGTTTGAAATCGTATTCCGCACGGTTTGCACTCGTAATCCTCTCCGGCACGTTCGTTCGACTCGGTCCCGCTACCGGCGTTCTCGGTCACGATCAAATTCAAAGGGCTCGTCTGCACTTGATGCCAAGTGGGCGCCACCGATCCCGGATTACCCGGTGACCTCTCGTTGTCCTGAATCACGATACCGTGCCTCTTCATTTTATGCGTTCGCAGGAAGTACTTGTTACAGTACTCTTTACAGCATATCTCGCAGAACGCGTCCGGATTTATGACACCTAAACGGCGAAGCCGATCGACGTTAAACCCGGAGTCTCGTGCTTGCTGAATCGATTGGGGCGATAGGTGTCTCGGTGCCGGTACAAACGACGCGTCCTCCTGTTCCACGCCGTACTCTTGCTTGAACAGCGTCTCCATTCCTCCGAGACTGTCTCTAGACGTGTCCCTGTCCTCCTCGTTCTGCGACAGCCCTATCTGTGATTGCTCCTGCGACTGATCCGGCAACTCCGTGTGCATCTTTTGCTTGTGTTTGCGCATCGATTCGTCGTTCTTGAAACGCTTCTGACAGAGATCGCAGGCGACGCTCGGCGTCGGCGGCGTCGCCGGTGGTTCCAATTTGATCATGTTCCCAGGAAAGTTCCCTGGGTACAACGGTCCGGGGATGTTGTTGTCCATGGAGCTGGGCCCAGGTGAATCCGCGTAGATACCGTGCTTGTTCGCTTTGTGCGTCTTGAGGAAATACTTGTTGCAGAACTCTTTATTGCACAGGTCGCAGTACGCGTCAGGATTGAAGATTCTCATCGGTGTCGGTCCTAAAGACGGTCTAGGGATAGGACTGGAATCTGTCAGAGGGAACGTTGGCATGGGTAAATATTGCGCCAAAGCGCCAGGAAAACCGGAGAGGACCTGTAGGTGATTGGGTAAGGTGGGAATTTGGCTAGACGCTGGCCCGGGCCAGGATTCCTCGTTCTGCGTCTGCATCTGCGCGTGCGATTGCACGTGTTGCCCGGTGGCTAACCAGTTGATCGCGAAATTCTTTACGCTAAGCAGATTCACGGGATTCTCGGATTGGTCCAGTTGCTGTGACGGTTCCTGCTTGATCGCGGCGCTCGATGGCCTACTATTGTGACACTGTTGCGACGTTTGATTCGCGGTACCGTGTTCGTTATCGAGGTGTACGTTCAACGTTTCCTTGCTATCGAAAAACTGACTACAATACTGGCAACGGAATTCGTTATTCAGGTTCTCGTCCCTTATCGACGATTGACTCGGTATAGGTGACTGCGACGACAGCTTACCTTCGCTGTCCTCGTCCTCGTCGTCCTCCTCGTTCGACTCCTCGTGTACACCGGTCATCAACGTCGAGGAGAATCTAACAGGGGTCGTTTGTTTCCGTCTCTTTTTCGGCCCTTGCGAGTCCGTGTCGAAACGGAGACGTTTCCTCGCGTCGCGTTCGCCGCAACTCGATCCGTCGCTGTCCAATTCCGTCAGCTCCGGTACAGTCGTCTCGTGCGCCATCGTCGAGGACATGTTGGTTTAGACGGTGACAGGCCCGATCCAAGCTAGTACCGTGCTAACCTTGATCACTCGTTGTCACTCTGCGGAAGAAAAATCATCGTGTTCCTTACTGTTTCGACTGTGTTTGTTTTTTCGTACGGTGAAACTGCGCGACGTTTCTCCTCCGAGCATTTATATGTGTAACACGAGGGAGCAGGGAAACGTAAGACCAGACTCCTACGTTTGCTAATAAAGACGGTGGCGAATCAATGGACGCTGAAATTTCATCCGTAATTCGGGCATTTTCTATGGATACTATACATCGTTTGCGTGGGTATATCACCGCGAGAATACAGAGTCTGATACAATACACCTGGAAATAGAATTGGTCGAACGAGAGACGGAGAAAGGAGAGAATAGAGAAGAGTTGACGGCTTTTGCCTCGATGAGACACCCTATACGCGAATGGTCACGAGGAGAAAAGGGAGACGTTTGGGGAACCCGGTATATGAGTCATATAGCACGCCCATACTTTGGGGCTGAATTCGGAGGATAGTACGAATATGCATTTCAGAAGCACGGTAATTACTAATTGAAGTTGACAGACCCGTGCCTCCTGTCACGAAATAATGGCCGGGGTCATTGAACTGTACTAGTTTCTGCTGGTGGTAGTGCACGCCACAGGAGGGGGTGGAAGTATCGTAACGAGACTGAACGAGGATAGAGAAAATAATGGGATATAATTATGGACTAGGAAAGGACTTGCGAAAAGCGTGAAATTTCTCTTACCGGTCAAAAATATCGATTCCATCGGTGAAAAAATCAGGTACACGTCGCCGGTTTAAAATCGTCGGTGTAACATGTTCGATTTAAGGCGATCCAATGGACGTCGTTGAGTATAAACGGACCGGCATCGAAACAACACCAATTCCATCGAGTGTCATGCGAAAACTTTATCGTGCATTTTTATCGAAGATATCGCGCGTAAACAGCAGTTTCTTGTTGAAGCCACACGTAGCCCTGCATGGTCGCCGAGGGAGCAACAATCATTCCGCGCTTTTTCTTCTCTCCTTTTAAGACGTCAAGAACGGTGGAAAGGCGTCATTGGCACGTGGCATCGAGGAGGGTAGGTAAACCGAGGGGTTACCTTGGGATGGCGTTGGTCAAACAAGCCCTCGAAAGAACGAGCCACTCGATATAAACTTTACGATTTCCACGGAACGTCTGGACGGAACGAAGGGACAGAAGGAGGGCATTTTTACTCGAGGTTATTCGTTCGATCGCGCTAAAACTCGCCGAAAGGATGAAATTGGATCAAGTTGGTAGAGGGACGCGAAGAAGCGAGAAAGGGAACAAGGTGAATCCTTGAGACGCGAACGATAAGAGGGAACAAATACACAAGCAAGCATAACACACACACACACACACGTGTTCTCTCTACAACGAATTTAACGATCGCGAAATAGATACTAATCTATACGATCCTCGCATGCTTACGCCTCTGTGAACTCTCCCAGGTTACTGTTAGGTGCAGCCATGGTGCCCCATGAAGGGCCTGTCACATCGTTTTCGTCCCTACCACCTTCGGAGAGGCCACCGCACAAATATCCCCCCACTACTCTAACGAAGCATCGTTTGCTACATACCCCAAACAGATGATCGTCGAGGACGATCGATCGAGGTGTGATTCGCGGATCGAGAAACCAATCACGTTCGATCGATACATTCCTTTTTTGTCGTTTTTCACAAATATCGTCGTACCGAACAGAATTTTCTACAAAGAGGGAAATAAATCGATGATATGATTCACGTTCGGTGGAGAAAACTGATTGCTGCGTATTTTTCGACGGAGCATTAATCGAATTTTAAATTAACGAAAATTACGTATGATTGATGGAATATTCGAAAATACTCCATTATTATTAAAATCAACGGAAAATGCTCCGGTAATGACGTATTATCTTCACGGTTTACGTAACGTCTATGAATGCGTTGAATTTTCGAATCGACAAGGATGCCGGGTCATTATTCGAAATTTGGACGGGCGCCTGTCAAGCCCACGGAAATTGGATTACGCGGGGGTTGAAAAACAGCCAGGGATACAGAACGAGAGAGAGAGAGAGAGAGAGAGAGAGAGAAAGGTGGACAGAGGTAGATAGAGGGGTGCAGAGGGGCTGTGATGCAAAACCCGCATTTCTGCGCAACATTTGACGGATTTTCGAAAAATACGCGTAAATACGCCCGTATGTCAGAGGACCGGTGGGCTGTAACACGGTGCATTGTGGAAAAAGCTTTTGCACCGTTTCCAGTGAAAATTGGATGAATGACAGCGAACGAACGAAAAATAAGGGGGAACCAAGGGGGAGGAGTGGGGAACTTCGTCATTCTCGAAAGGGTGTCGAGAAAAACATGTTGTTAGTGGAGTAGAAAGCACCGAGTGGGATAAAGGTGGACGGGTAGGAAATAACTATCGAGGCCTTTTCATACGCGAAAAGGGACACGCGAAAGAAAGAGGTATTATCGTCGTGGATGCACGTACATACGTACATACATATTGCATATGCCTTTTCACTGTTCCCTTAAATCGTTTCGCGGGCATTCGTAGTACGCGCGTGTGGGCGTATCGCCGTCAGGTAAACAATGTTCTAACTTGACAAAATAACGATGCTGCGACAACATATGCCGCGTAGGTTACGCGTACATATACAGACACATATAATATATATACATACGTGTAACACGCGGATGCGTGGCGGTCGCAGCTGGCTGTTTATCGAGTCGTGAAACGATGGCACACGATAAATTATGCGTTTTCGGTGGGGGGTTATTGCACGGGGTAATTAATATTGAATGCGGTGAATCGATATGATTCGACGGAACTAGCCGATACGAGATTGTCGGTCATGATGCTCGTCGGTACACCTCGCTCACGTTTCATATATGTACATACGTGTAAGTAGTACGTGGCTCGATTCTTTCTACTTCGTTTCATCGTTTCTTGGAAACTTGTATTTGTAAAAAAGCTGTCAGGTAAATTAATTGAGAAAGCGCGCGAGATAAGACTGTTCGGCGAGAAAGGTGTTTGTTATACGTAGACACGTGTACATATGTATGTACAAGGGGGAGAACGGAAACGACGATAGAAACCGGAATTTTGTCGAATCGATAAAAAGAGAGAGCGAGAGAGAAAGGGATAACGAGTAGGGGTAAATTATGGAAGTTTCGTGGCAGGGTCGTTCGATCATCTTGCCTCTCAGAGTCGAAAGGAAAAGCTCGCGAACTTTTTGCGTTGGTTCCTCTTCTTCGCGTGCGTGTGCCTATTAGAGCGGACGACGTGCGTGTGTGTGCGCGCGTGAGTGCGTTTATATGTGATTTCAGTAGAGGCCTATTGATCGAGCAGCGAACTTCACTGGTCCGCACACGCGCATAAGTCTGCCCGTAAACAAGACAAATATCATCGTGCCAG